TCTCTCTCTCTCTCTCTCGTGTGTGTGTGTGTGTGTGTGTGTGTAATCTACTGGGGATGCTTTGTTACAATTACAGAAGGATGTTGAGAGATTGTGGTGGGCTGCAGTAGTCTCGTTTTCTGCTTTTACTTGGGAAGACTGAAAAGTCCTGTCTCCTAGATCATTATTCCCAAGACAATCACATCACGAACACGAACTATGTATCAAATGAAAGCTGGGGATGTCTATTATAGATTTCTACCGTTGTTTTTGTTTTGTTGGTTTTTTTTCACATAATCACCATCTCTGTCAACTCAGGTGTGCCAACGAGCAACACGTTTATGGATCAAGTCGGCGAAAAATTCCAGCGGTCTTCGTTAGCAATATCTTCGCAAATCAGCCTTTATTTCAGCACTGTAGTTGTATCGATGGTGTCTTTTAATTTTCGAAAACAGAAAAATCAAATGGGGCAAAAGTCTGGACTAATATTGGAAGGATGTGGCAAAACTTCACAGAATCTGAGTCACCTTAGGGCATCCTGAATCTTTCGGCTCGAGAGAGGGACAAGCATGGTCATGATGCAGATGAGAGAGAATGGGATTTTTGCCAGGCTGAACTCCTGGTAAAGTGGTAAACATGGGCGAAGTTTTGGAAGAGAATCCACGTATTGATCAATGTTGACAGTGTTGCCCTGCTGCAAGTGTTCTATGTGTATTATTCCTTTTTGATCCTAAAACACGCCCAGGAGCTCTCCCCCACCCGAACGTGCAGTTTTGAACTTTTTGGGACATAACGAATGTTTTTGCCTGAATCCCATAGATTGTCTGTTTTCCTGGGCCGTTCGGGCCGTAATGATGTGCCCATAATTCGTCCCCAATGAGAATGCACAGGAGAACACGCGAAGGGAAATCGATATAACGGCGATGTAGAAATCGAAGCCGATATAATGTGTAGATGGTGCAAAGGAAAGCAGCTTGAATTTTTCGCCAACCCAATGCAGAGACTTGTTGCTCGTTGGTGCACCTGTGTTGTCAAAGATTGTGATTGTGTTGGGAAGAAAGTTAAAATTGAATGGCTTTCAGCTGGTTATAAAGTTTGTGTTAGTGGGTGGTGTGATTGTTGTTTTGTAATTATGATTTGGGAGGCGAGGCTTTCGAGTCAGCCCTTGTATGTCGCAAGTTTCTCTATCTCTCTTAGTGTCTAGTAGGTAAGAATTTCACGGCCCTGTCAACTGCAATGGAGCGCGCTCTCTAGTGTCTGGCATTGTCCAGGCCGTCCACCTGTATAAAACAGCCACTTTCTCCTTGACGATGGATGGTCGTCTAGAACAAGTTGGACTGTATTTCCTCGAATATTGCTGTTCCCCAACCTCCCGCAAGAGAGGAAAACCCACGAAATACAACCGATATAATGTATTTATTACGTGTTTATGCCTTTATGAAACCTACCCGCATCTTTACAAGCCTCTCCCACACCCTTGTAAACACGTTCTACACTCGGAGCATAAGAAAACAACAGTATTTGAAAAATACAAATGTGTTTAGATCAGTTGTTAATAGCGACAAGTATTTAATAGCGTACTGTGACTGGTCGCGCCTCGGTCCATGTTTTGTCACATAGAGCTGTGGCAAGAAATAACCGCAATGTAGTGTGTGTATGGTGTACGTACCGAGTCTGCGATCGCTACCTAAGAATTACAACGTTTTATCTGATATTTTTGGCCGTTTTAAATTACTAAGACCATGAGGTCGGACACCTTAATAATATGTTCTATCTGCTCTCTCAAAATCTTGAGATTATATAGAGTCATAATCGAGGTTTTCAAAGATTTGCGTTCGAAAAAGCTTGACATGTTGTGAAACTCAAAATTTTTTATGTCAAATTACTGAAAACTAGGCACTGAGCAGATACAACTTTATAATTCTGAGGTAGCGAAATGTGAACCGTGATATAATAATATTGTGAGCGAATACTTGTACTTTTGCTAAATCCTAAGTATCCCCC